CACACACACACACACACACACACACACACACACACACACACACACACACACACACACCCACACACACACACACACCATAGCNTTTTTTTTACATATTTAGCCTCGTTTAGGCACAATACCGCAAAACTTTGAAATATAGTAATAAAATTAATCGATAATGATAATGATTTGTTCAAAGCCGCTACTTTCAACAAAATCAAATTCTGTTAATCACTACAGTGCTCAAAATTTAAACAACTTTTTGTAACTCAAATTTTGTCACGGTAAACTTTCAATATTTTACTTTCGTTACCATAGTTNTCGAAAATTCCGAAGTCGTTTCATAGTGTTTATGTATAAATGAAAGAAATATCAATTTCATTACAATCGAATCATAATTTCTGTGTTTTTTTTTTTTATTACATACATGCATAACTATCGATAGTGAGGGTAAACAAATGTAAGAAAAAGTGACACATGCAATTAATTATAAAAAGATGAAACAAAAAAATCATAAAACAATATTAAACTTGCATTAAAAGCGGAAATGAAAACAAAAANTTCCCTCGCCGTTTGCGTATGATTTTTTATTTTGAAAGAGAAATCAGGAGCGACAAAATATTATATAAATGTCCTTAGTTTAGTGCCGTTTGTCATTATTATCACAATATGCAAGTTTTTTTATAATATTTTAAGTTCTCTTTTTATAGTTTCTAGTTGGTAACGCTGTAAAAATAAATTCAAACTAAATTAATATTTTTACAGAAAATATGTGCATAATAAAATACGCCCAATAAGTTTTACTGTAAATCTGCATGAAATACAGAAAAAAAACACGAAAACAAATAAAAATAAAAAATATAGTTAAACTCAAAAACAAACTCATTCAAAGGAACGCTACGAGCGTTGAGCACGCGCTGCTCAAAAATAATACGTATGTACTTACATATGTATGTATGTATGTATATACATGCGAAAAACACGTAACTCTTCAGATGTAAGAAAAATGTCCGCAAGCTTAAAAGAATTAAATTATAAAAAAAAATTTACATACAATAACAAAAAATAAAAATAATGTTAGTAAGAAATATACAACGCTGCAACAGAAGGTTGGCATTTTTCTGCAGCCGCCACCACACACACACACACACACACACACACACACACACACACAC